TGACACATGACCCCACATGTGAAAGATGTGGCCATCACACTGAAACAACCCTCCATATTTTAAGAGATTGCAGTAAAGCACAATTGGTATAGGGTAAATTTCTTACCCATCAGGAAAGAGACTTTGATGCTTCTCTCTGCCTAACAAACTGGATTAGCAAATATTGCAAACTTAAGTCTAACTCCTTTTGGTTTTGTATTCCCTGGCCTCAGGTATTCCTATCAACCATATGGAACATATGGAAAGATAGGAAAGGTGAATGCATAGAGAAAACCAAAACTGAGGCCTTTATCATTGCAAAAATGGCAAGAACAATAGCCAAGGAGTCCATGGAAGTTTTGGAGAGATTGAGAGCACAAACCATAAGCAAATCTACTAGACTGATTGGTTGGAGCTTCCCATTTGCAGGTAATTTCAAGACGAACACGGATGGCAGCTCTAAGGGCAGTCCAAGTCCAGCAGGAATTGGTGGGATTCTGCGTTACGAAAGGGGACTCTGGGTCAGTGGATTCTTCGACAGAATCAACTACACTACCAGCCTGAAAGTGGAACTATGGGCAGCGTTTAAAGGGCTGCAGATGATCAAAGACAAAGGAGTGAATGGCATTCTGGAGACAGATTTTCCTCAGACACTTACAACCTCCTTACAGCTGGGAAGAAATCAGTCACTCATCCCTTCAAGGCCCAGGAGGAGAACTGCAGACACAAAATGGACAGCTGCAACATCAGGATTGTGCATACCCTAAGAGAGCAACTAGTGTGCAGATCATTTAGCTAACCTTGGAGTTAGCCAGTCAGTTGATTTGGTGGAACTAGATATTCCACCTGTTAGATTTGCATCTCTTCTGAACGCTGATTTGCATAGTGTTGCTTTCTTACAGGAACCCAAGTAATTGAGGTTCCCTAAGCACCGGAAAAAATCAACTTGTTGCTTGTACTATATATGTTTTGAGCAGGTCCCTACCAAAAGTTTTCTAGGAAAAACTCCCAATGAGATTTGGAGTGGTCAGAAGCCTGATATTCAACATTTGAGGGTGTTTGGTTTACTGTCTATACCCATGTTGCGGATCCACTCTGAAAAAAACTTGAGAATAAAAACTGAAGTGTATTTTAATTAGGTACAATTCTATTACAAAATGGGTATAAGCTTTTCAATCATATTAGTGGCGAAGTGATTATTAGCAGTGATGTAACTTTTGATGAGCAGGGTGTTTGGAATTGGTCCCAAAAGTAAGACAAGTCAGCCACACTTGTTCCTTTTGATGTTGATGATTCAATTGGTGATCAATCAATTGGACAGACCCCAGCAGTTCAATTCTCGCAGCTAGAGTCATCCAAACGTGAACGACATTTGCCAACTAGATTGGAGTATTATGTGATTAGCACTAATAATGATCATTTAGATGAGGACTTGATAAATTTTGCTTTATATGTAGATTGTGATCCTATTTCTTTTATTGATGTGCGCGGAGAAATATTAGATAAAAACAATGGATGAAAAAATTCATATCATTGAGAAAAATAATACATGGGAGCTTATATCTCTTCCCGATGGAAAGAAGGCTATTGGAGTTAAATGGGTCTACAATGTTGAGGTTTCTACTCCTGTTGCTAAATTTGATACTATTTGTATAATTATTTCTCTTACTACCAATAATTATTGGTATTTCAAATGAATGTGAAATTTGATTTCTTGAATAGAGTCCTTGAGAAAAAAGATTGTGTATGGACTTAAACAAGCCCCTGGAGCTTGGTACACCCAAATTAATTATTATTTAGTTGAGAATAGTTTTTAGAGATATCTCTATGAACACACTTTGTATGTCAAAACTAATTCCCAAGGAGATTTATTATTGTGTGTTTATATGTTAATGATCTTATTTTCATAGGGAATAATCTGAAGTTAATTGAGAAATTCACAGAGACAATGATTTCTCAATTTGAGATGACCAATATGGGTTTGATGTCTTATTTTCTTAGGATTGAGGTAAATTACACAGACTATGGGATTTTATTCCCCAACAAAAGTATGCTAAGAATATTCTTAAATGGTTCAGAATAGATTATTGCAATCCTATTTTGACTCCGATTGAATAAATATTGAAATTGGGAAAAGATAGGAATGGTGAGTTGGTGAATCCCACATATTTCAAACGGTTGGTGAAAAGTTTACGTTATTTGACTTCCACTATACCTGATATTATTTTTGGAGTAAGCCTTATCAACAAATACATGGAGTCTCTATGTCAATATCACTTGCAGGTAGTTAAAAAGCTTTTGAGGTATGTCAAAGATAGCCAAAGTGATAGTATTTTTTATTCACTTACTAGTTCTTGTAAACTTGCAGGGTATATAGACAGTGATTGGGGAGATGATGTGAAAAAAGTAAAAAGTATTTCAAGGTATTGTTTTCAAATCAGTTCAAGAATTTTTTTTTCCTAGTCTTCAAAGAAACAACAAGTGGTATCAGAGCTAGATTAATGATCCTAGTGAAACAATCAAAGCTAGATTGATAATCCTAGGAGAACAATCACAGCAAGATTGATGATTCTGGTGCAACAATCAAAACAAGTAGTTGACGATCCAAAGATCAAGTTGGTGATAATGTTATAGAAGACTCTCCTGCCACACATGTACAATGCCGTGTGAAGATTAATTTCATCTTGCATACATTATAGATGTAATCTTGGAATCTTTTTATAGTGTTCGGATCCACAAGAAAAAAAGAATATTTTCATAATCAAGGGCTCATGATTCTAGTTGAATTCTTCAAGTTATGCAATTTGCCAATAAAATATTTCTTCGAGATTTGGACTCTTAAGTTGTAGCCTTGTCAAGTCAATGGTTTAGGATATATTTGGCCGACATCTAACCAATATTGATTTGGTGTCTCGTAAGTTTACGGAATCATTGAGCTTTACCTTGATAAATAAGAAAAGGAATTGACCATTGAATTTTCTCAGAAGCAGATAAGACGTGAATTTTCATAGAAGATGCGGTCAAGTCGCAGACTCTTGAAAGATAGAAAGGATTATGGCGACTCATAAGATCGATTTCGCGTGAGGTGTGATTTTGCATGTAGTGCTTGAAGAAATTAGTAAATCAAACTTAAAGGGAAGTTGAATTCGATGTGGGTCTCACATGAAGGGGAGTTTGTTGAGACACCACATGTAGAGTCCCACATCGAATGGGAAAGTTTTTTTTTTTGATAGGAGAATAGGAAAGAAGTTGAAAAGTCCTAATATTCCTTTAATAGGGTTTTATATAAATCTTTATCTTGATGGGAAATCAAATTTCATAGTTCTTCATGTCTTTGAATTTGTCTCTTCTTGAGCATCCTATGGATTGTATCAAGGGGGGATTTAAAGCTCCAAGTTGCATGTGAGGAACAATGACACACTCATGGAAGTTCATATTTGCATTCACATGTCAAAAGATTTTTTTTTCTTTTTTCAATTGGAATATCCCTAAAGCTACATCATATCAGTAAATGTAAAATGAGTGAATAGACATTACAAGTACCAAGACCCATGTCTCTAATCATTTGAGATTAAATATAACAACTCCTAATTTGGCTCTTACCTAGGATTCCTTAGAATAATGATGACAAAGCCTCCATAGAGGAACATTTACTAGTGAATCTGTCCTCGTTAGCTGGAAGGACCACGTTCTTGCCTTTCCCAATCTTTGATACCTCACTCCACATCTTCTAGTCATTTTCTAAAACTGTATTGCAGTGTCAATCAAAAGCTCTAACATAACTGTGGAGCATCCGGTAGTTGCAATAATTAATAAGCACTCAAGTGTTATATTCCCATATCTATGCTCACACCATTTAACTCATTAATATAAAACTAAGAAGCCCATTTAATGGGGATCAAATGGGGATTGGATAAGTTTAAATTGAAGAATCGGATTTCATTATTTTTTTATAGTGTTAGTATATTAGTAAGAGAATATTTGTTAGAGTAGGGTGCAATTTGAGAGTTTAACTATGAAACTATTTTAGAATTTTGATTGAAGAGTAATTTTTGGTTTGATAGAAGATTTGGCATAAAAATATCAACGTAATCCCTATTATTTTTATTATTATTAGAGAGAGTGATATTGATAAAATTAGTTCTTTGTGGAGAATTTGTGTATTTCTTAACCTAATCCTTACACGGTTATGATAACTTGTCGTTTGTCTCTTATTCTTTCTTCCCCTCCTCTTTCTCATCCTACATCAATTGGTATCTGAGCAAACTCAAATCCAATCTCTTGCTATTTCTCCCCTCTATAATGTTACAATTCGTAGTCTGCTTTTTTTTAGAGCAACTTTTCTGGTTTTATGGCAATCACCATTAGGGCTGTCAACTGATCAGATCTTGATCTGTCCAAATCTGAATCCGACAAAAAATTCTTGTGTCGAATCCAATACGTTTATCCGACGGATTTCAAAATCTTAATCTATATTTGCGTCTGTTAATAATCGAATATTCAATCCAATTACTTGATCCGATCTGAAAATTTGAATCACAACAAAATTTCATAACAAATTAATAATTTTACCAAATTTAAAATTAACTTTCAACTTAATTTAATCAACAAATCATTCTATTCAATAATTTCTATTTAATTGCATGTCAATCTTGAAATCCCCAAAGTCTCTATTTGGAATCCCTTGGTTGGAACAAGGTAAATGAGAAACCACTAATGTGACAAGGATGACAACAGTGATAAGTAATTAACCCGCATACTAGGTAAATAACACAAGGGTGACAAGGATGTGTGCTCGCAAAAGGATATTTCTCGTTTCCAAATTCCAATATATTAAGAATCCCTTGGTTGGAACAAGATAAATGAGAAACCACTAACGTTAATACCTTTGACAAGCTACTGGAATTTTTGAATGACTTAAAATGTATTGAGCACAAAAGTCACAAGAAGGTACCTGAGTATTCTCCTGAAGCAACTATTCAAGATGACTTCCACCCTGGATCCTAAAAATCCAAAAATAATTAGGTGGTGTCCTTAATACCACATCTACTACAACACGTGGCATTTGGCTCACTATTTGAAAGGGCCTCATGGAACAACCGCTTCTCATCATGTTTTGCTGAAGTTGCAACTACAAACGACCAAGAAGATTCTTTTTTAATGTTCTCATTGCTTCAAAAGCTCAAAAATACCTGTGACTCTTTATGATCCATTGAATAGCAAATTATAAAAGTCAACCAAGATATTTATTCAATCCTCCCCTCAAACACATGCACACATATTCTAAATAATGCAGAGATAAGGTTGCTCCATTATGTCCTGGGCGGCAAGATTCAAGGCACAAAAACAGTCTCCACATGAGCCAGTAATGTTGTATACACCAAACCTATAGTAGTGGGAGTCTTGTGCATAGGGCTACCCTTTTTTTATTAGCTTGGGCCTATGCATACAAACCATCTCCACCTAGCCTTATTTCCCAACCAAGTGACACGTGCACAAATTGCTATCACCAATTCGAGTTTTCATGTAGCCAACCTACAGATCAACCAACACGTAGACCTATTCTAACTACCTACTGTCTATACCCGCAAGTCAAAATAACAGAAGAATAAATGTTGGTTTAAAAATCTCATACCACGTCACATAGAGTCGTTCAAACTCTTATGTCTTAGCTCCTTTGGACAATAGATAAATCAATTCCTTCATTCTTAGCCACATTACTTTCAGTGGTCTAATTGCCCCTGTGTTTGATTTATTTCTTCCAATTTTGGCCTATTTTGACTAAATCATGATGACTAGCAGTGCATATTATAGATCACACCGATAGACTAAAAAAAGTAAATAAAATAAATACTCGGATGAAAAAACTATAAAGCTATTTGGACAAGGAGATAGAAAAAGTATAGCATTGTTTACTGTGTAATTACTGCGGCACATGACGGTCATAATAACGAGATAGAAAAGCACACATGTAATCAAGGGCTTGGAAAGCACAATTGGTTACATAGACTATATAAAAAGCACAGACACGAGATACGGATACGACCGATATGGACACGGAATATTTCCAAAAACTAGGACAGAACGAGGACACATTAAATAATTTATATTTTTATAAATTATATATAGTATATTATATGGTAGTGCACGTATCAATAAGATGTTTGATAAAATTATGTTGGAAACCAAAAAAAATTCCAACAACATTAAACAGCTAGATGCTTTTAAAGAGGAATTCGGTGAACAAAGTTGAGAACTACATTGCCGAGCAAGCAAATCTGGCTGTTTATTCAATTTTCTTTTATTTGATCAGATAATGTACCATCATCAACCGATTTCCAAGGCAAAACACACTGATATTTGGGCAGTCAAAATTTTAGCTTCAAAATCTTTTCATGAGTCAGTAACATGGGCCCACTGCTGTGAATCTTTAATGAAGTTGTTGGATCTAGTATTTCACAATAATCTTCAATAGGACACTTGGCAGCCCATTATTCATCATACTGATTGAATAAGTCATCTTGTAGAATACCTCGTTGCACTTGATTTTTTATGGCAGTCAGTTGTAGCCCACCAAAATATTGTCAGCATTAATTCATTGTTCCTTATCCTTCTTGTGGGTAAAGAGAGGCCTCATCCCCTCTCATCTGTAGAATATTCTGAACCTCTCGTCTCCCCACCCTCTTTCTCTCTCTCTCTCTCTCTCTCTCTAAAAAGAAATTTGCAATCTCTTGTCCTCTCAGTAAAAAACCTTCTACAACTTTTTTCTTTGATCGCTGAACTGTTAACAACTTTTGTCTCTGTCTATCTCAGGTCACCCTCGTTTCTCTCTCTCTCTAACTTTCTTCATCTTCGTCTGATTGGGAAAAGTAAGAAACGTGACCGATTGAGTCCCAAAAGTGTCGAGACGTGTATGAAAAAGAGAAAAAAAATTGGACACCATTTTTCACATGTCCAAGACATGTTCGGGCATGTCCATGTACCAAACATGTCAGACACTAATACGTGAATATAAATTTAGTGTTCGTGCTTCATAGTTGACAATTATCGACACTACTCTGGAATAAAAATGTAAGCATTACTATAAATTTTACATTTTTTCAGCCGGGGAACGCATATTCTCACCCGAGAAAGATAAATCCAATGATTTGTCTTCAGAAGAAGAGGCATTCTCACTCAAAAGGAAGTCTATTCGCTCAGCAACAGAAGGTGGAACTCGGAGTATAAACTGCTCCTCCATGCCTACGGAATGCAATAGAAATCCACATCAAAACCATACTGTAAGCAAAGATATAACAAAAAAATCATTTTGAATGTATGCTTATATTTCAAACTAAGTCTAACAGTTACAAATGTACGAAGACCATGAATAAAAGGCAATATTGGAGTAAATATCTACATATACAAAATATTGAACCCAAAAAAAGAGATGAGTTAACCTGGCGCTCTCCCTTCTCTTTTCTAAACAATTCTTTTTCCTATCAAAATAAATGACAATATTAGTAATTTGATTAACAAATTTAGTTTTGCAAATTTTCTTGGACAATGATGTATAAAAGAAACCAAATACATCTTTACTTTTCTTTTGGGCCTCCTGAAAATTGAAAATAAGATCCTAACAGAACAAATGGAAACAAGACTTGGCCAATTCTCGTTAATGAAATATCAGCACAGAATGGGAATAAACAATGGCACTAGGATTCACGGTTCAAGGGATCAGCAAAGACCAATATCGATATGACTCGGTCGGGTCCTATCCGCCTCGGCCACTACACCGATACCCGTTACAAAAAAGTCCCAAGTCGAGTTTGAATCGGTTCCGTCTCAGCCACAACTCGGGCAAGTCACAGATTCGAATCAATTTGTTCCAACAGAACCTACAATCGTCCCACAGACCCAACGACAGCAAATAACATGCCAAAAAAAAAAAAGCAAAGGAGATGTGATAGAAGATGACCCACAATTTTGCAAACACCAACTTGCATGCAAAATCCAAAAATCAATGAATTGATGCAAAATAAGAAGAGGCATGGACAGACCACTCAAGAACCCACACACCAACACACGCTCACACCCAGAAACACACACACAAACGAAGAACCACACACACCCACAAACGCAGAAACACACACACACACGCAGATGCAGACCCACACACACACCCAGACACACACACACACACACACACACACACACACACACACACACACACATATATATATATATATATATATATATATATATATATATATATATATACACACACAGATCTTTGTATATATATATATGCATATATACATAGATCTATGTATATATATGCCGCGAGAGAGTAGATCTATTTTATAACTCACCTTCGTGGCAGTCGAATCCTCTGGCTGAAGAAATCTGAGATGGGATCGAGGTTGAGAGATGAAGATCTGAGCAATTCCGGCGGAGTTCTCTCCTTCGTCCTCAGGCTGAACAGTGACAAACGGGAGAGGGAGATAGGCGAGAGAGAGAAATGAATTGGGATTTTTTTATACTTTCAGTTTTGGTACCCTTATTTTGCAGCTAATGGGATTCGAAACCTAGACCTCGTTAAATGGACCCCAGGCCGCGCGTGTGTTTTCCTTTTTATGTGTTTTTAGAAGCACCATTTTTTGTGTTTAAAGATTTGGGACTTGTTTTTAAAATAAGGTAGCTGAAAAAAAAAAAAAAACTAAATTACAAACACAAATATGTTTTTATGTGTTTTTTAAAAAACTACGTAACACAAAATAAAAACAATTACCAAACCAAGTGTAAATTGGAGATAGGTCAACAGATCATGTTCCCAAGAAAATGGTCCACTAGGTTGCACGCCGAGAAGATCTACATAAATGGGTTTCACCTCTATAAAACATAGGATTAGATTTGAATACCATATCTCTTTTTTTTTTTTTACCTAATCACAAGATGACATTTAAAAAAAAATTATTATTTTATCTTATTTTATTATTTCAATGATCGATGACTAAAAATAGCTCAAATCAAGATTAAAGGTCAGAGATCATTTACAATTCAATTCACGATCCTAAAATATAAGGTGAATGACATTTGCAACTAAAAGATTCTCAAGTCTCAATTTATACACTGAAAATTTAAAAATTCTCAAATTATACCATTAGTTAGATTAAAAAAATGTATTAATTTATACTACTTAATGTAAACATGCATAAAAAAAAAATTAAATGCTAATAATATCCCTAAAAATGTACACAAATAAAACATCATCACAAAATGTTCCTTCAACTCCACAATTGTAATTGAGTACACTCTTTCAATTGAAGTAAATTTTCAATCTAAATTGATTATATCAAGAATTACTTGGTAATTGAATCATCCCATTACCTTTGGTATTCTTGTGTCTTCTTGGTAGTATAAAGAATTGAGATTTATTAGTGTTTCATCCGGCATAAGATATTCTCACTTTTAACTAAAAGTTCTCATCTTCAAATTTCATACCATAGATATATTCACCAACCATACCTTTGGCATCCTTATACACACTAATTGCTCAGTTAGGTGCTCTTGCCTTATCTCTCTCTATACATCCGTATATATTTATGTGAATTCATGCTCTTTATAGTAACCAGGAGAAATTTTTAGGTGCAAAGAAACTACTAAAAGCATGTTATATAACAAATCACCACTGTGATTTAGATTATAGGTTCAAATCAAAAATCAGTAGATTATAATTTGTGGCCTTTTTTTTTTCCTTTTCATTTTCATCTTAGGCTCTATTGCAAGCACAAGACACATGCTAAATAAAATTTGGCATTCAATTGGAATGCAATTTCTTGTGGTTAGACAATAGCTATAAATGCAAAACAAGGCCACCGACTACTATCGGTTTTACAATTTATGATGTTGATTTTGTAATTTTGAAATATGCCATGTGTGCAAAATCAACATAGAAGTGGCTAGGCTTTCCTCAACCTGAGAAATAGCTATGCAGCTGCAAAACAGTCCGACAATCTATTGAAACTTGAAATTGAGCCTCCAATATGTCGCCCTGTCCTAATCTGTTCTAGTGTGGTTAATGTTTATAGAGGAATATTCTGAACTATGGGTGGTTACTTGGCTATGTTTGTATTGCTTGGGCTTGGGCATGTGAAGAAATTATTTAGTATATCAAGAGATATCCAACACAAAGATTAAGGGGAGTTGCCACAGAAGCTAGGAGCATTACCTATTTATTGCACCTCAACGTAAGATTTTCAAAATAAATAGCTTATTTTTTGTTTGCCCAATCAATCTAAAGGAAAGAAAAAAGTGCTCATGGTTTTTTTTGTTGGATGACAAAAATAACCAATGATATCGAAGCAACATCATCATTTTTTTCTCTTATTTTTTCCTAACTTTTGGTTGTAACTTGGAAGCCTTCATTAGGGATGGAAATGAAAGTTGTAAGTAGATACACCCAATTTTTGTAAACCCCATGTATTCATATATATATATATATATATATATATATATATTGTTAAGTTCTATGTGTTGGATGTATAAATAATGAGTTAGGGATAAATTATATAGGTTATATTAGAAGATATTAGGTATTTTGGATCTTATACTCATCTTTAGGAGAAGTTAAGAAGAGAATAACTAGTTTGGATAGTAGAAATTAGGTTCCAGGGGCTACAAAAAGTGTATCTCACAAAATTTAGTGAATCTACTTGTAAATAGATCAAAACTATACTGGAAGTTCTTACGGGATTTTGAAGTCACGTCTAAACGCCAATTTTCCATTCGAACGGGGCTTAGCTACAATAGTTTGATTTTTTGACATAAAGTTTGACAGAAATCGAGGGACTAGGAGCAAGGAACGTTCGAACGTCATTCACATTTGAATGAGACACGTTCAAACACAAAACACATTCAAACGTGAGTGCAATTTTTACAGCAAATAGGGACACACTGACTGTTCAGATTCTAACCTTACAAATATCTCAAGGACGTCAATTAGGTTAGTTTCAGCATTCTTTGGCCTTAGCAATTCTAGAAAGTGAGAGAGAACGAGAAAACACAAGATTCAAAGGGATTTTCGCGTCGAGAACTGGTCGAATAAGCTAGAGTTGCATCAAATTGCGGATTAAAAGTAGATTTCTTTCTCAAGTTCACTCATTGATGATTAGGGATGTATATATATGAATTTTGTTCATCTCTATTATGAAATATATATTAGTTCTAGGACTTTGTAATGTTGTTTGGGTTCTAAGTCTCGTTTATTAAATACAATACATGATTTGTTATAAATTTACTCATTTTGATAACTGAAACTCTAGTTCTTGAATTACAATTCGGTCATATGATGGATAAACAATGCTTTCGTACTCGTTGTAAGAAAATGATCAAGTTTCTCAAAAGAATTATTTATTTTTAATTCATAAATACAATGTTCTTGATTTCAAAAATCCTAGATTTTGGTTATGTTCAATGTAAAAGGGTTTTTGGGGATCTCTTGCATATTTTCTTGAAATTATCATATCTTAGAAATGTGTAAATGTGATTCATAATTTTATATGGAAGTTATAAAACTATTTCTTGTATTGGTGGGGTGATGAACATGGGTTACTGTCACACCCCATCTCGAAAGATCATTTTGGTATTTTAAAATGGAAGTATAACTTGACACATGACAATACATGCACCTGTAATTTAGGAATGCATATAAACCTATAATACCAATTAATAATCTCATGAAAGAGATAAACTATACAACTCTATGCAGAGTGCACCATTCTACAACTTAAATCAAAACAAAACATTAAGGAATCCATCTCTTACATCAAAAAGGAAACGAACACTCATTTACAAAATGTACACAACAAGTTTCCTCAACCTCTCATCTCGACTCTGCTAGTGTTGTATTGGACCTAACTTTAAGCTTCCTAAAAACAAATATTTTTTTAAGTGTATTGCGCATCATAATAAATAAAAATATTAAAAATATAAATCAAATATTCTTTCACCAAAATATGTTCACAATCTAAGGAGAATGACAAAATCAAAGTGTTTTCAACTCACTTTGAAATCTTATAATCACTATCAAAATATCAACATAATAAAAAGTCCACATGTGTTATAAGTCAATAATAACATTTAAGCAATGACAGACTATCAACAATATTTAAGTAATGTCAGGCTAACAATAACATTTAAGTAATGTCAAGTTATTTATAACATTTAAGCAATGTCAAATTGTCTCACAACAACTTCGTAGT